ATGCCAAAATTACAAAATATCGCCCTAAAATGCACGAATTATCCGCAGCTAGCGCTAGTATCGCTTTTGCTTCCCTTTCCATGACTTCGCACGGAGCGAATAAGGTAACTCCTCACTGTACTACAGGAGTTCCACCTGCCAATATGATGTTTAATAGGAATATCCGCTCAGCACTGGACTTTGTAAATAATCATGTAAATATTAGTTTTAAGAATAGTGATAAACTAGAGGAGATTAAGGAAAATGTTGAAAAGAAACAAAAAGCACAGATTAAATTTTACAGGGGAAAAAGGAACAGGATATATAGTGTTAATGAAAATGTATATGTAAGGGATTATAGGTTAGTAAATAAGCGAAATTGGGTTAAAGTGGTTATTAAAAAATAAAATAGGACCTAGAAGTTATTTGGTTTATGTTCCGTCACTGGACAAAATCTGGAAAAGACATATTCAAATTATAGATTTCAGTTCATTTGAACTAAAAGATGAGGAAATTCATGTTGATAACAATAACAAAGAACTAAATACTGCAAACGCAGGATGTTCAACTAATAGTACTTTTGTTAACAGTGGCAATGTAAGTCACGAGGTAGTAGATAATTCTAATAACGATATTGAGGTAATTAATGATATATGTACACCTAGGCGTAGTAAACGTAATTTAAAAAATGTTAAATATGTTTAAATTTAAAGTTCTATTATAAACTGTTATGTAATTTTAAATTTAAGGAGAGAAACGTGTATTATAACCAGGACTTAACAATCCAACAAAGTTGGTATCACTGAGTATACGTCACAGTTCCAATCCTGCGACACCAAGTGGTGGCGCGCGCAGTCCATCTTATACATTTTCGTATGGTAACGGTTTCGTCCTGTTGTTGTACCATTTGTATCCGGGATTTAAAATGTACTTTTCCTGTTCGAATCAAATAGTAACAAACGAATGAGTGTTGTTATTCAACCGGAACCTAAATACATTATATACGTTAAGTGGAAAGTTGTTAACGAATTTTGATAAGTTGGCCAGGAGTGTATTATTATTATCATCTGATTTGTGAATTTTAGGACCTAGGCTTTATGGGCTTCCTATTTATTTACTTAATTTATTTTTAAGTTTAGTTCAGTAATAATTACACTCTTCACTCATTTAGTTAAATATACTTGTAATGGTCACTTAACATTGTCAAATTTCACTTGTTAATAACTTAATTTTATACTGTAATTTAAGCCTATCTTCAATCATTTGATTCCATTTTATTTTATTATACTTGTTTGTCACTGTAGCCTTGTTAATGATTTTGGAGCCTACCCTTCGTGGACCATACTACTCATCATATTCACTGCGGTTTCCCGACCGTAGAATAGGCAATTCAGTACATAGCTGTGTCGTAAAAGGCGAAATAAGTGTCTTTACTTAAAGGCGGCGTTTCACGCTAGTAACTTGTACAAGTTACTTAAATCCAGTACTGAATTTTATTACTTGCTTAGTGTAAACAGATATTTTGGTACTAAATTCCAGTACGAGTTTTAGTAATGATTCCAGTCGAGTAAATATTTACTGGCGCAAGTGTACTTGTACTTCTACTAGCCTATTAACTTTAGCTGTGCTTCTAATATTTTGTACCGGTCTAGTTTATTTGCAGTTGAAGTTTGTTAGTAAATTGTCACATAATTTATCACATTTCACAATGTGCTCCAGATGGACGTAGGAGACCATGGAATGAATAATGTCTATGGAATTCACATCTTTTATTTTATAGAAATAAAGCACGTGAGACGACAATAAAAATAATTATGGATGCAAGGAACGTAGAAGATTTTGCTTCAACAGATGAAGAAACGAAAATCAAAAACTGACATTAAAGCATGTACAAGATCCACTTAAAATAAAAAAAAACCGCACAGTAAATTTCTAATTTTATTTTGGCATCATTCTCATTGTGATATTAGATCGCTTTATAGCTGATTATCTTTTTGTTTTAGAAGTATGTCAAAGACATTCTCATACAATTTCTGTATTCTTCAATGTCTTCAAAAACATGGTAGAAGCACCATGGTTACTTCTGGATAGACATTTTCTTAACCAAATTTTGTCCTTGAATTAGCTAGTGATTCATTGTGAAAAATGTCAATTAACTTATGTGTCAATATTTTCACACACGACACCAGGCTTTGTTCTTAAGTAAAACACATTTGGGCTTGGAATTAATATTTTAATCAACAAATTTATGCGTCTGGGAACTCTAGAAAATTAAACAAGGATGAAATTTAGGAATATTTTAAGCAAGTTACTTAAACAAGTTACTGGTACCATATAAATTACAACTGTCTTCAAAACACTGGCTTGTAGTAATGAATTTAAGTAACTCGTACAAGTTACTTGCACAGTAAAACGCCGCCTTTATTTTATTGCTGCCTAGTATGGATCTAGGTAGTAACTTGTCTTTTCACTTTTCCTAAACTCTTTCTTTCCTGATTACTTTTCAATTTACTCCTATTTCTTCGACTAGGTGCCATGTACGGGTTTTGGTCGCCACGTCTAATAACCTTCAAGTTCTCTGACTTACTATGGATTTAGAATCATTGCCCTTCATCCTACTCTCCAAATTCTGATGCACAATAGTTTTCATAAACCAATTGTACTTAGGTTTTTAGGAGCTCTGTATGGTTTATACCCTTAGAAACCTAGTATATCTCTTCTTTCGTTATTATATATTGTTGGTTTCTTTATGTTAAGTTTATTCTAACCCGGGTTAACCCCAGAATCACTCTCAAACGCTTATTCTACTTATCATTGTCCTATGTCAGTATGTCTATGTCTATTGTTAAATATAAAAATAGGTACGCTGGTCACCTGTTGAATCGTTGTAGATGATGTTTGAAAATATTAATATAAGTATTAATGTTATACCTCTTAGAGGATATTAATTGGATCCGGTGCATTTGCACCTATATTGTATTTGTTTTTTAACAACAATGTATTTTTTGATTTATTTCATGTGGAAGGTATCTCAGACGTAAGTTTGTCATCTGTTAATATGTAAAAAATTTAATTTTTAATTGCTTTTAGGACGGCTTTGATGATGGCTTTCTAAACCGAAAGCCTTAGCCTAATTTTAATGAAACAAAATAATTTTTAAACAATGACGTACCCATTCCACTTAAATTTAAAAAAAACTTAAGGTGCTTTTGGTAATATTATAAACATTTTGACAATATAATAAAGAAAGCCAATTCAAAGGGTATAAGTCATTTAAACCTATAATATCAGATAGAACTAATAAGCAAACAATATAAAAATTCAAATTTAAAGTTTGACAATTCACTATTGTTAAGAGATTGAAACAAATCTGCATTAGGCAAAACAAAGTAAATAGAAGGTGCCTTATCAAAATGTGGCTCTAATGCGTAACACAAATAGTTAAAAGGACACGTGTTTTTCTGTTCATCACACTTTAATATATTTGTTAAAAGATAAGCTACAAAACAGCAAGGAAGAACCATGTAATTATTTCCAGCAAATTTCAAATTAATAACTTTTTATTTGAATTATGAAAAGAAATAGTATTTTATGAACAGCTTATTTTAAACATTTTTGGCTTAGGGTATGTCTTCCGAGCCGAACTCGGACAACATTTTGTTTACATCCTAAAATAATTCAAAATTTTAACATGTCTGGAGAGAGCTGTAGCGTTGCTGTTTGCAAACCCAATTTTTAAAAACAAAAATTATCAGTGGAAATGGACTGAGCCTAAACCAAAATTAAAGGTTAATGGTAAGATTTTAGAATATCATTCTATAATTATCATTAACTTTTATTAAATTAATTGCTTTGTCCACCCTACATTTAAAAGTAGATGAGATGGTTTCGTACAAACATTAAACACAATCAAGAGAAAGACAAATCAAAGGGCTTTACTGAAAAAATATACATAATTGAAAAAATGTTTTTTTCTACTATGGTAAGTAAAAAATGAGTAACAAATAATTTTAAAAAGAGTTCAGAAGAAATTTTTAAATCATTCACGACAAGATATTTGAATAAAAGGTGCTGTCTCTATCTCAGAAAAATTCTTAAGTGTCCCTTGCTGGGGATTTAAACTTTACAGAAAAGCTCTTGGTTGTAATTAATGCTTGTAAGAAAGCATCTCATCTGCTTTTAAATGAAAGATGAACAAAGTTGCAATTATTTAATAATTGTAAATGATAATTGACGAGTAATATTTTTAAATTTTACCATTTAGTTTTAATTTTAGTTTCTTTCCTTTTATAACTTTGGTTTTTAAAAATTGTGTTTGTAAGAATCAACTTTACAGAGTCCGCTCCAGGCATGCTAACATTTCAAATTATTTCAGTGTATAAACAAAATGTGGTCCAAGTTCGGCGTAAAGGACGTACCCACTCAATACTATTTCTCTTTGTAATTCAAATAAAAAGTAATTTCAAATTTTATGGAAATTGATACATGGTTTTTGCTTACTGTTTTATTGCTTATCTTTTAAAAAATCACCAGTAAATATTATTTCAAGCTAAGGTTTTTTAAACAACAAATGTACGTACCGCGGCAGAATATTTTCTGTCAACCCTATTTTTCATTCTGTGACGTCACACTCCCGTCCATAGCAACCGGACAAGTCCACCATATTGTTTTTGAACCGTGCTATCTAACCAGCATTAATATGGTTAGACTACTCGAAAACTATAATAATTGTAATTTGTCCACCCTAAATGCAGAACATTGGGAGTCAATGCGATAGGTGCGATCGTTTAGTCATAATCCATTCACATTTTTAACAACAAACCACCCTTTTATTACGATAAGTGGCACATGAGACAAAGTAAAAAACAAATAAGAGATATATAAAAAAAAACCAAAATATCCACTGCGATCCGCCCTAAACCCCTAAATAAACGAAACAACTTAATGACGCGTTTGCTTAAAAGTCCGTTTTCTTTTTGGACAAACCTCGTAAATATTGAAGAAAATGGAATGAGTCCTACCCAATATTAGTCAGCAAATCAGACATATGAGAAGTACTGTAGAAAGGAATATCTTCTAATCGAAAATTAAGTTTAAGAACAGAATTGTTCACCTCGTTGAGGTAAGAACAAACTTGAGCTGATTTATCTATGAGTCCTAAATCAATACCTTCTTCAGTTTGTTGAAGCTTGTGAAATGCATTCATATTGTAAAGATGTACCTAAAAAACAAAAACTGTTTAATATCAAACACTACATTGCAATTCAAATATTACATTATTTATAAATCAAGAACTTACTATCTACAAGAGTCTATTAATACCTCATAACTACCTACAACTATCTACAATATAAATTCAAGTATGAATTAGTTTTAATCAAGAGAAAGTGGACTTTAGAAAATAGGTAACAGTTACTAGATAAAAGGTTTGACGAGAAGGGTAGGTAACACAACTTGAAATTTATTCATATTTTCTCGAATAATTTGACCTGTCAGTATATTATGTGGAGATGTATTATCATATTGTAACAGAATTTTTATTCTAGTAACTCATTCCATATCTTCTTTTTAAAATTTTTAATTTTAATTTATCAAAAATTGAAGCATACTATTGCCTGTTGCCATGAAAAGTATCTGCTTCAAATCCCAAAATCTCTTGATTATTACCATCCCGCCGATCAAAATTGACTTTTATGAAGAATGATTGTCACGATCTCTCTACTTTTTTTGAGTGTAGTTTTAACTTTGGATTATATTTATTATTAAAGCTAAGTTTTGTCGACCGTCATAAACGACGCAAAATACCAACTTAGCGATTAATAAAAAGCTTTAAGTTCACATATAGTGATTTTTCCCTTTGTTGTACTAGTGGTCAAGGGCCACTTCTTATTAAATCATTCTCTTGATAATATTAAAAACAAACATAATATAGTATTACTTATACGTTGTATCAGCAGTTGAGTGTCAACTGAGTGCGTCTCCGGGTGGTGGATAGGAGAACGGCCAAGTTTTTTCTTGGTTAGTGGTAGACATAAGTAGAGTGAGAAAGCCTAAAAACCCTCAAAATCTTTTGCGAAAGCTACCGCTGCGAACCAACTCACCCAATCTAAGGTGTAAAGTAACGTGCCGACGGATCAATTGTCGCAGGGGCAAATGCAGCAGCAAACGCTCCCCTAAGGGAACCTGGCAAAATCTTCTTGTATCTAGCCTTGCCGGCGCATGGGGGGCTCTGCGTCGGTCGACCTTTCCTTCCCTAGCTACTCGTGGGAACCATATGGATTCTGAAATAAAAAAAATCCAAAGAGACTGGACGTCAACGCTCACTTCCAGCAAAGGAGACTGGACGACTAAGTCCAACTTCGGCGCAGAAGGCTGAACAATGACGATCATCTCAAAAAAAGGAGTATGGACGTCAACGCTCACTTCCTGCAAAGGAGCCTGGACAACAAAGTTCAGCTCTTGCACAGGAGACTGGACAGCGACGCCCAACTCCAAAAAAAGGAGGATGGACACAGTAGTTCACCTCCAACTAACAGGCCCCGGAGAGCCAAGAGAATCTCTGGGTCTGAAGCAAAGAGGGATAAGCTGCAGGCAGGCAGCGCTACGGCAACCGCCACCCTCAGCAAACTTCCTCACTCCAAAATAAACAACAGCGGCTTAATCAATTCGTTAGGCAGCGACGCTAGTTCTGCCTCCACAAGAGACCAGGAACACGACGCAACTAGGGACAAGAAAAGGTTGCGACCTCACACCTCTTCCGAGGTAACGCCCCGGAAGGGAAAAAACCCAGACAGGACCACAAAGTTCTGTCTGGGATAAGCTACAAGGATGCAGCTACGAGCTACCTAAAAGTAGCTATAATAGACAAAGAAAACCCTTACAATAAGATAACTACCAAAAGAGAAATCCTTGTCAAAAAAGACATTGATGGGAGAGCTGGACAAAAACAATTTTGTCCGCCTCCTGCAGCAAAACCAAGCCACCCACTTTTAGGTCTTGGACGCATTCTGGTAAAATCATCAGAGTGACGTGCGACGTTGGAATGGCTAAAAATGAGGTACCAACCTTAAAAATGTGGTAAGGAGCAACACTCGCTTTTGTAAGAATGGACGAGCTCCCCAAGCTCACTAAAGCCTTTCTCTGAATCCCAGGGGAAGCGCAAGCTGACCTTGACGAGAAGGAGGTTGTGCATAGGTGCCTTGAGGGGCAAAATCCAAACTTACATGTGGCGAAATAGTGCACCTTCCACCATGAAATAAAAAAGACCCCAAGGGCCATCTCTTTGTCTTAGGGATCGAAAACGAAGACATGGGTACCCTAAAGGTCAAATCAATGAGGATGAGCTATGCGTTCACCTCATTTACTATAAAGCCAAAGGTCGAAAAAAAGCTGAAGCGGGGCCCAGTGAAGACTGTTTGGTAAAAGACCCTCTTCCCCACAATTCAAGCCAGAAAAAATGGCATTCGAAAACTTTTAGCATGAAAACTCCTAGGAGCTACAATAGATCATCCCCTCCCCACTTTTGGAGGAAAAGATGGTCGAATAAAAAAAACCACCTGCCCAATTTTTAACGGAAGTCCGGGAAGCAATGTAACTTGCAGCACAAAAGGGTGACTACGGCAACATTATGCCGCCGCCTTGATGAGAATAGCACTCATCCACGAACCCTGGATAATAAAAACCAAAATTTTTGGTTTTAAAAATCTAAATGGTTCAATTTTTAGCTTTCCCAGCAACCAACAACCTAGGACAGCCATTTACATTCCTAGGAAATACAAAGCCCACTCAATGCCGCACCTTTCCACCTCCGATTTAACTGCGGTTTGGATGGAATACGCCATCAAAAGGGAAAAAAAACGTTAATCCTGGCATCTGCATGTCTCCCTTTCGATGCAACCACGCCACCATCCTGATTGCATAGTGCCTGGAACAGAAGTTTGAGCTGGTAATAGGTTGCGACTTAAACGCTCATCACTTCAGTAAGGATAACAACGCTAGAGGTAAATCACTTTATAATTATATAATTACCAACATTTTTAAACTCTCGCAGTCAAACACTAATAGATATCACTTTATCCACAACTGGTATTTATAAATCAACTCTAAACTGGCAAGTGTCTGATAACATTTCGATGTCAGACCACCGCTGGTTAACATTCAAAATAAACTTGATGTTGCCGACCTCCATGCTATCTCGGAACCTTAGGAAGACAGACAGGGCAATCTATGCCCACGTTCTCAAAGAGGCTCTGAGAGACATGGAGGCCGAAACACCAAACAATAACAATGCTTTGAAGAAGTACTCAAACACTATTCAAAGCACAATAAACAATGCCTATAAGAAATCCTGTCCCCTGAGGCTGGCCCAATATGATCAGGCGACTACTTAATGGTAATGTCACGAGTTAGATCACCTCAGGAAGATATCTAGGAAATCCTTTAATAAGGCAAGAAACACAAAACTCAAAGAGGACTGGGATACTTACAAATTTCACCTCAAAGAATACAAAAAAATCGTCAGACAAAAACAGGAAGATGCATGGAGATCCTACTGCGAAGAAATCGAAGATTTCCTGCAGACAGCGAGGCTTCAAAAGGCTCTCTCAAAGGATCCACACCAAATCTTTGGTGCGCTAATCAAAAAGGATGGCACAAAAACTGTCAACATCAAAGATAGCATCAAACTTCTGCTGTCAACACACTTCCCTGACTCAGTCATCACGTGGCCGACTGGACAGAGAATGAATGCAATACATCTGTCTATTATTGGCAAACTGCCAAACACATTGTAGACATTGAAAAAATTAGATGGGCAATATCCAGCTTCTCTCCATTTAAATCGTCAGGAACTGACGGTAACTATCCAGCCCTACTTCAGTGGGGTCTGGAAGAACTCACACCTCACCTGGTGGGTATATTTAGATCTCGCAATTAGAAAACAGAATTAAAAGCGCTATCATAAGACCTATGCTAACATACGAAGCAGTTGTCTGGGTACCAAAAACCCAAAAATAACAGCTATCCGTAAACTAGAACAAATTTAAAGAACAGCATATCTTAAAATAACAGGAGCCACGAAAACAACAACGACCAGAGCGATGGAAGTCATTCTTAGTCTCACTCCCCTTGATATTTTCATCAAGGAGGTTGCTCTGACGACAATGACACGCCTCCGCACGGTTGGAATAGAACCTGATATAGAATCTGGTGAGTCGAGATGTCGCTTTTGGCAGGAGGCGCTCCCACTGCTTTAAGCCAACGGAATCCATCTCACCGAGATATATCTTCCATAAGCCATATAAAATTATACCAGAACAAATAAAAGAGCCGGAAGTGGCAGGTACAATGCATAACTACACCGACGATTTCAGAACAAAACAAGGCTTAGGATGTTGAATATAATCCAGATCCTTAAACCTAAACATAAAATGGGCTGTGAGCAATAGAGCCAGTGTAGTTCAAACAGAGCTAACGGGGATTCTCATAGCAGCAAAAGAAATAACCAGAAAGAATATCGCTGGAAGGAACATGCTCATATATACAGATAGCAGACAAGCACTACTTACCCTGAACAGACCACGAAATTATTCAGGGTTAGTACTAGAATGTCACGAACTTTTGGCCGAAGTATCCATCAACAATGTGGTCACCTTAAGATAAACCAAAGGTCACACAACATCGAAAAGTAACCGTCTTGCTGATTCACTTGCCAAGAAAGCAGCCAACCAAATACTTTTTGGACCTGGCCCTTCTATTGGCCTGACAAAATCGGTAGTGACAGACCTAATTAAAGAACATTCCTTTCTGAAATTCAAGGAAAGATAGGATAAAATAAGAAACTTCAGAGTTGCCAGGAAGCTCTTAAGTTATCCTGACAACACTGTAGCAAACAAATACTTGACTATGACTAGACTGAATCTACGCCTAGTCACAGGCATTTGGACTGGTCATTGCCAAGTACGGAAGCATCTCCATATCATGGGGCTGTCAGAATCTGCACTTTGCAGAGGGTGCGAACAAGAAGATGATACCATCGAGCCTATCGTTTACGATTGCTTGACGCTCTCATTTTTTAGAAGATTTGTGTTCGGCGAGTATCGGCTAACACCGGCCGATATAAAAGAAACACCTCTTGGCGACGTTGTCAACTACGTTAAATCTGTAGGCTGGCTCACGAACTAGGAGATGCCTATTACCTTAGGATTATGCACAATGGGCCTAATGAGGCCTAAGTGCCGTGGGGGTAACCCACCCTTCACACGTTACATATACAGATACGTGGTATTACTGATAGACATGTACACATTAAAATTAACAAGAGTGTAATGTATCTTCGGAAGTGCAACAGCTCGATAACAAGTGAACGCACAAGGAGGTCGCGATCGCGTCACATCGAAGACAGTGCTAGTTTTCACCGAGTGCGGTAAAACTCTTTTTCATGTTTGATAGATAATACATGCATTTTTACTTGCTTTTCTCGGACTATTCTCGCTCGCATCGCGTTCTTCGATCTTTTCCAAAGAATAATCTCGGTCGACCTCAATACATTCGAGACGAGCTTGGGGGTCTAATGCAAATGTTTATGATGATCGCGTATATCATGAAAATTATGTGGTTCGTAAAAAAATCGAAGTAAATCAGCCACATTCGTGACTACACTGACACGTGCTGAGAGTATACATTTGTAAAACTGCTTTTACTTTGTTTTGTATTGGCTGTGTGCTGTGTTTTATCCATAATTTTACAGAAAAAGTGGGTCTGTAGATTTGATATTGCTAGTTTAGGTATTAACATCAATTTGTATTAATAAAGTAAATAATTCATTTACGTAATTCTATTTGATTATAAGCAAAATAGATATTAAAAACATCGTTTAACTGCACAAAAAACGGCTTTTCGTATTTATAAAGTTTTATTATCGGTTTAACACCACTTAGGACATAAAGTGATAGGTATTACATTTATTTAATATAATATTAACAATTTAGGATACATCCTTTATACGGTGTGGTTCGTTATAGCCAAAAACCAATATAATAATATGCCCTCTGTAACCTCATTTATGAGTCATCCTGTATAAAATATGATGTATCATCAAGAAGTAATTATTAAAACTATATTTTCATTATACAATGACAATTGTTCATATTTTTAACGATGTAATAAAAAATGATTTTTCCAAAAAAAAAAAATTTCTTATATCCGAACCACCCTGTAATTAACCAATTTATACAGTAACTTTTTATAAAATATTGGTGCCAAATAATTTATATCTCATATTTTCTACAACAAATGTGAATAAAATAGGTGTCTTGTGAGAAATATGCTTACAAAAAGTGGAATTTTCGATGTTTAACACCTTGTAGATCGAAAACTAGTCATAGGGGTTAATGGACATTTTTTGTCAGAACATCGAGTATAATAACATACCAATATTTTAGAAAATTTGACGAAAGTCATTTGTTTAATAAAAAGGTGCCTGGTCGTTTGCGAAAAAGTGTTAAATTCGAATTTTTAAGAAAATTGATCAAATAAAAGTTGTTTGTAATATCTTTCTCTATCAGTTTTATTTAATACATGATTTCTTTAAAATGTATGTATTTAGTTCATCTTCTAAACATTTACAGGGTACATTTAGTATTATTGGCAAAATTTTCCTTTTCTGAGTAGTAAAAATTATCTAGTCTATATTGTAATAAATCTAAATAATACGTTATGCATGCAAAAATAATACAAAATAAATTTCTAAAGAAAGTTAAGCAATATATTTCTCTTGCAGAAACAGGCAACACGTTATCAGGACGAGCATATTATAACTGAAATAATGCTGTATTTTTTTAACAATAAATACACAACGCAGTAGAATAATATTACCCTTTAGCGATAAATTATTTAAGTTGCAGATATGACGTTCTCAGTAAAAGGTAATACAAAGTGCATTCCATCTATACAAAGTTTTTGAGATATGGCGTTGTTGTTTAATGAGCGATATTGTGATTACATTGGTATGTTCACTGTTCAGTCCTAAACAATGACAAAAAAAACTACTAGACCAATTTTGTTTACAAAACTCGAATTGTATTCACGGTGCCATCCTCGTAGTTATCAAATTATTATAAGCGAGTATGGGAGAGAATTGTTACAAAGATTGTTTATGGTTGTAATTTGGTATTGACTTAACATAAGGCTCGTTAGCTCACCAAAAACTTGCAAAATTGCATTACAGAAGTATATTTTAATTCTCAAGCCAATTATTTTCAGTTTAATATATTTTTTTTCGTTGCAACTATTAAGGTATCATCTCGGTAGGCGCGACAGACGACCGCCGACGCGACCGAGAAGTGTCGCTTCACATCTAAAATACATACAATTATATGAAACACATTTCGCACGGTACGACACGAGAAGTGTCGTCAGACGACACTTCTGAATCTGACTCGGGGCAAAGGATTGCTGCCTGTCGCACTCGAAGTCACTGTCCTCGAGCATCGCTTCATCGCTTGGAGGTGAATAGGTTGAAAATTTCTTTCGATATAGGCAGTGTTGCCAGATTTTGGAACAGTATGGGTGAAAAAGAAAACCGTAGATCTGAACAGTAGATTTTAATACAGGGGGAAATAATTAAAATTTGCAGTGTAGTAAATAAAAACACAAGTATATAAGAAACGAAAAATAAACTTTTTTCGACCCAAATTAGAAGGTAAACAAAGAATAAACACAAATAATAACATTTTTAATATATACTTAACCTACGGAAACAAAAAAAAACAATGAAAAATAATAGGTACCTACTTCTTTTAGATCAGTCTAAATCAGATAATTCAAAATAGTAGTGTGCATGTTCTTTTTATGATGCCCTATTAATTCTTTGTTTCATTTTAAATAAAAACAATGATTATCTTGATGTTTTTTTTATGGAGCCAACCTAGAGTAATGGATGCTTATTACGCTGCTTTTACTGCAGAAAATTTACTAGAGAAAATATTCTTTAACCATTTGCTGAAGAATGAGGCAAACTTAATAAATTAAGAACAACATTTGCTAGAGACAAAAACAGTGGATCTACGTGAAAACAGTAGGTCTGGCAACGCAGATCGTTCCCTCGAATCGTTATCCTGTAAGTGTCGCGCGACACTTCTCAAGCTTGCGAAATTTACGAAGCGTAACATTTATGCATCTGTCGTCCTACTCGACCTTGGGGTCGTCTCAGTGGTCGCTTGTCTCCTGACGCGCCTACCCAAATGGTACCTTTAGAGTTGTATAGTGTTTATGAGGAAAGTAAGCAATTAATTTTGAAGTATGACAGCAGTGTGAAGTAAGCGTAGCAGGCGTAAATACTGATTCATTTATAAAACGCTCCTCAGATATATAATATATACTCGCACAATTTATTCCCACTCTAATGAGCAGCTATTTTTTTCTTTCTAATGTGGCAGCTGATACGACAGCTCTACCTGCGTAGAAATAAATAAAATTCGAACGATTGCTATAAAAAAGGGCTTAATTATAAATTAATGGAATATTCTAGTAGTTTTTCGTCGTTAATCCTCATTTTTCTATTTGCGTTTATTTATAATTGGTTACAATTTTTTTTATATATAATAGACTCATAAGAATCAGTTTGTATATACATATTGTGAAAAAGCAGTATTAAATGATTAGCTCACAACTGTTTTAAATTGTTTACTCTTACCTGCTGAGACAAATTAAAAAAATCTTGTATTCTCTTTGCTCTGTACGTCATTAATATAGAAAACAAACTCTTGCTTCTCCATTTTCTAACAATTGGCCTGATAAACTTCATTTCCGTTTCGGTTAAATTACTATGTAACTCTAGAATTTCTTTACGTTTTGCAGCGTTTCTGTAAGCTGAATTTAATAATATAACTGGTCTACAAGTTCTATAAAGCATTTATTTATTGAAGGTTAAGGCATTATATTTGCCTACAACTATTTTGATTAAATGAGTTTACCCTTTTGAATGATTTCTGCCGCTTCCTCCTCTGTTAAGATACTGCTTCTCCTCCTGGCATTAATTTGGTTAACTGGAAAATAATAAGTATGGGCTCCTTAGTTTGGAATCAGACGTTAATTTTTAATTTAATACACGTAATATTTTTTCCGAAAGTATAATTATTGCTACTAATTACTAAAGTGGCACTAAAAAACATCATTAATATAGAGAGTATGAAGCTATTGGATATTGCGATTTCAAATATCAGCTATACGGGCGTAGTTCACCAGCATTGGTGTTTAAACCTCGTTGTTAGAAATAGGCCGAAATGAAATTAATAAAAAAAGTTAATCTGTGGGCTTTAGTGTTTCTACATTTATAGCACATATTTTCCTAGAAAAGTTATCCAGTGAGCTCTGAGTCACAATACTATGTTTACGGCAAGTTCAGAGCATGACTCTGGTAATTGCGGATCTTCTCTTTAGTATGGCGTTTAAGTGGCAGACACTACAATAGACGTCATTTTATTGAATAATGAGTATACAGAAACCTATACGAAATGATACCTACTTAAAATATTATATTAAAAATGAATATTAATCTAGTAAAGAAATTGTTAAATGCCAATACCCAAACCAGTGACATGCTAGAACATAAAAAACAAAAAAAAAATACCACAAACTTAATTTATTAACTATAAAAAATGAGAGACATAAAATTGCACAAAAATATTAAAATAATAAAATAGGTCTCGCTATACTATCTTTATTTTCAGTAATTAAGGTCATCAATCAGAGTTATACCTAGCGAAATGCTAAAAGGGGGCGTCAAAATTTTGTATTTAATTTTCCAAAATAAATCTAAATAAGTATACTGAAATAACTTTAGTACATAATGTATAACTAAATATAGTCGAAGTAACAACTTATAGGAATATGATCTTTTAAATACCATACCTTGGATATAAATCTATAACGGCAAAGCATATAAGAATCATTTGTCTAAAAAAAAACGACTAAATAATAAAATACATGATAGGGAAAATATTTAATTTACATCTGCAAGATAAATTATGCAAGTTTATTATTAAAATTAACACATACTCATTTTCAAAGTAATATAAATATGTTAAAAGTTTTATAAAATATTATTAAGAAAAATGAAACGAAATTAAGGCTTAAGTCACCTCTCCTGTAATAACCAACGGTTGTAGAAGATGAATATCGTATACTTTACTTTCAGCGACCCATTCTATAATAATGAATAATGCATTTTGGTATGTATGAAGGCTTGCAGACACTCCAGGCACAGTTTAAAGAATATATATTCTTTAAACTGTGCTCTAGGAGAAGCTGCACTTATGAGTTGGGTTTTCATACCTGGTGGTCTTATAAACATCCTGTTTATAGGACAATATTCTATATGAGGACTGGATGCTTCCAACAAAAAAAAAATGTACGAGCGTGCCCGAAAGATGTAAGTCAACAGGGCTCCCGAGATAGTAAACTAACATAGCTCACAGCATCATTTCCAGTAACATCGCCATAAACATGGATAAACTTAAAATGGGCGTCTTATTGAAACACGAGGAAACTCCTACTAGGACCCTAACAAAATCGAACTCGTTGTTACCTTATTAAAAATAATATGGTTATTAAAACTGACTTACACTAAAGGGTAACATGGGTAATTTACACCAGTAAGACACATAAAAAAAAGAAGTAAACTTCTGCTTAACCTCACATGTGCTTTTCAATTTACTTTCATTCCCAAAAAGACCGGTAACTCTTTCAGAATTTTGCAACATCTTCTGAATGTCAATTATCAGGTATCAGAAGTGGCTATTGACTCATTCAAATTTTGGGAACTTATAAAATTTATGAAGTTTACTTTGGATGAATAAATATAACACATTATTATTTTAATTTTAATACCTACCTATCGGATAATAGAGAGTCACAAATACCAAATCCTATTAGGCCTTAAGCGTATAAGACAAGAGATCTCATTCAATGTATGTTGTATTATATAAGCGGGGGTCTTCACTTTGATCGTAAGGGGAGAGGGGTAGGTTCTTTACACTCAATCGCGTACCGTTTGAAAGGGTTCCTGTTTATGTTTACCATTTATGGACTGTAATAATAACAATAACTAATAATTTAGTTCATTAATTTGCATGATTAAGAGAAATACATTTATTTACCAATATTTAGTCTTCATTTTTAATTATGTTAAGCCTTCGTTATACTCTATATTACATATATTTTTTACTAAAAATTACTGTTTTAGGATTGATTTGTTTTTTTATAATTTCAATAGTTCTATTTATTGTAAATATAGATTTGGAACTCTATGCTTTCAAATGAATCCGTGGACATATATTATTTTCGTTTAGTTCATGTGGATAATTTAGAAACAAATCTTTTTTATAGAGTAAGTAAAAGACAACTAATAACAAATTACAATAATTTATTTATAATAGTAATATTGATATATGTGCATGTCTTCTTAAACATTGCACCCGCATTTTTTGTAAATGATTGCGTTTTGGGACAGGAAAAAATCATATCCTTTCATCTGTTCATTTTTATTTGTAAAAACTGTATTTGTAAACAGCAACACTACAGCTCGCTCCAATCATGGTCAAATTTCAAAATATTTCGGGGTATAAACAAAATGTGGTCCGAGTTCGGCTAGAAGGCCGTACCATAACTCAAAATGCTTAAAATAAATCATTCCCACAATAATATTTCTTTATAATTCTAATAAAAATTTATTTAAAAAATCAAACTAACGATATTGTAAAAACACTAACACTAGACATAGTTTAAAAATAAAAATACAAACACCACTAATTATTTACAAAATATTAGATGTTTAAAAAACTAAATAACGAAACCACTTTTTATTCTGTGACGTCACACCTCCGTCCATATCAACCGGAGGATACTACCGTTTTGTCTACGCACCGTGAATTATCCCCCTCAGTACATATCTAACCAATTTGCGTAATACCTCTAGCAGAGATTAGGGACCTAAAAATAGGAAACGCAACGACCGTAGCAACGATGGATTTATCTTTACGTCGCAGATGTTAACTAAAGGTATACGTCGTTTGTAGACAGACTAGACGTGGACAGTTTGTAAATATAAATGTCAATTAGTTGTATATATATCGTAGAATTCTGAATTTGAATTTTAAATTTTGAGTTCATGATTGTGTTATCCTCTAGATGAACTAAGCGAAATGGTGGTGGTTGTTTTTGTGAGAAATTTGTGGACAATAATTAAATTATGTAATATTACAATAAGTCGGAGCACGTATTGCATTAGTAACACATGCCATATAAATAAATTTAAACAACCCTAATGTGGCGTTCTTTAATTTACCAAAGTAAGGTCTTACCATATAAGCAAAGAATACCTACTTAGGAAGCGAAACTAAATGGGCGATTCGTGGACAAAAAACTGCCAAGTTTTCTTAGTGTTTCAGAAGTAGTTTAAAGTCAAATATAGGTGGCATTTTATGTAGAGAAACGTTTGGTATATTATTATTATTATTATTATTATTATTATTAGCGTTTTGTAAAAATTGTAGTTGTATCTAAGTATTAATTATAAATAACATAGTTCTAAGATGTTTATAATATAAAAAATACATTGCGTTGTTCATAAATTTTAATGAACGTTCTTGTATCCGGCTGTGGATGTTTTATTTCTGAAATTTCTAAATCAGTATTACCTATAATGATAATTTACGCCAAGATATTAGTCTTTTACTTAAAATATGTTTTTTTTGTTCTCTAAACCATTCCAGTTAAAACAGTAAATGAGCAATGTTACAAAACAATAATTAAAATAAAAGAAAAACTCATTTCAAGGAACTCAGTCGCTGCTATCAGGTTGCAATCGAAATGCATTTACAGCTACCTACAGTACTTCTGGATATATAATCTGTGGCGGGTGGGTTACTCCACGGCACTTAGTCCTCGCTAGGCCCATTTTGTATCCTCCTAAGATGATAGGCATCTCCCAGCTCGTGAGCCAGTCTACAAATTTAATATAGTTGACAACTTCGTCAAGATGTGCTTCTCTTATATCGGCCGGTATTAGCCAATACTCGCCGAAAACCAATCTAATAAATGGGAGCATCGGGCAGTCAAAGAGGATATGCTCAATGGTCTCATCTTCTTGTTCGCACCCCCTGCAGGGGGTGCTTCTTCCGTACTTGACAATGGCAAGTCAGAATGCCTGTGATCAGGCGCCTATTCTGTCTAGTCATAGTCCAGTATTTGTGTGCTGTAGAGTTGTCAGGATAACTTAAAATCTCACTGGCAACTCTGCAGTTTTTTGTTTCATCCCATATTTCCTTGAATTTCACAAGGAATTGCTCTTTAATTAGGTCTGTCACTACCGATGTTGGCTAGTGAATCAGCAAGAAGGTTATCTTTCGATGAGGCGTGGCCTTTGATCCATCTTAAAGTGACTACATTGTTAATGCCAAAGCTTTGTGACATTCTAGTACTAACCCTAAGTAAATTCGTAGTCTGTTCAGGGTAAGTAGTGCTTACATCCTATCTGTATAAATGAGCATGCTTCTACTAGTGATATTGTTTCTGGTGATTTCTTTTACTGCTATGAGAATCTCTGCCAGCTTGGTTTGAACAACATTGGCACTATTGCTCATAGCCCATTTTACGCTAAGGTTTAACGAACTGGAGTATATTCTACATTCTGACCCCTTGTTTTGTTTTAGAACCGTTGGGGTAGATATGAATCGTACCTGCCACTTCCGGTCCTTCTATTTGTTCTGCTATAACTTTATATGGATTATGGAAGATATATCTCGGTGAGATGAAGTTTATGTTTACTTGAAGCAGTGGGAGCGTATCGAGCGCCTTTTTGCCTAAAGCGACATTTCGCCTCTCCATATCGTACATCAGGTCCTATTCCAACCTTGCAGAGGCTTATCATTCTCATCAGATCAACGTCCTTGATGTAAATATCAAGGAGATTGAGACTAAGAACGACTTCCATGACTCTGGTTGGTGTGGTTTTTAAGGTTTCTTTTATGTTGAGACATGCTGTTAT